CGCGCGTCAGCTACTATCTATCTATGTAACTATCTACCCCCCCCCCTCCCGGCTCTCCCGCGGGCGGTCTTCGCGCGTCAGGTACTCCGCGCGTCAGCTACTCTCCGAGGGGGGATAGGGGGATACGTGGCGTACTTCCTGAGCACAAGGAGGCTTTTGTGAATACCCCGCGAATGAGCAAGAAGGAAGTTGTTTTGGAAGAAATGGTTGCAGTCCGAGTGGGTTATTTGCATATCCATATCGCACGAGGACGTTACAGCAGTCATGCCCAAACAACAAAAGCTTTCGGTCTCAGCAAGCGACTCTGCACTTCTGGTTTGAACACGGGGTGCGCATGGTGCTTCCTGCAGATGCCCTGTCTATCAACCGCATCGGATCTCGTACTTTGCTTCTGCAGGCAAGCCGAGTTCAGTATGCCAGTATACTCTGGGAGTGAATGGGGAAAAGGGGCTCAGCTTTATTGGCTCACCCATGGTTTTGCGGCAGCACGCCTGCCTGTCAGTTGTGGTTCCTCCTGGGCGCCCGGAACCTTCCCCTTCCCGCCTGGTCATTTCTGACTGATCGCGCTCTGCGCTTCTGCAACCAAAACAATTTTGAGCCCAGTGTAAGGCAAAAACATTGTTTGTTAGTTTTTTTTGAGGGCAGGAGATCTTTTGTTGCAAGGCACGTCCCAACCACCTTTTTTCTAGAAATGAGATGGTAGGATGGGGTGAGGGAGGGGGGAGGGGGAGATGAGATGAGATGGGGTCGAGGGGTCCAATGCCTTGCTGCAATCCTGACCTCGCTCTGTCATCACGAGGACGATCCTGCATCCGCATGCCGGCAAAGGCGGAAGCAAGTTTCGAGCTCTCGCTTGCTTATCTTGTTTTTGGTGCGCTAGGTGTGAATGTTCGACGAGCCGCTTCTCACGGAGCTGTAAAAGCCCCCAGGTCGGCCAGCATGATTCCAAATGTGCTTGTACATTAAAGCATAGTTAGATCATAACGACAGCAATTCTATCATTTTCTTGCTTTGGCTGGCCACAGCTTCTCTGGCTGCTCAGGCCCGGGCTAGCTGTGCTGCCTCCAAAGCGGCCGGCGTCAGGTGCAGGGATGGCCAGTGAGCCAGGTAGGGCACAAACTTGCGTTTGACAGGCACTGTGAAGGATGTGCTTAGTGAGCTGCCGGCCCAGTTTCAATCACTTGTAGCCCTGCGCTGTGATTTATTGCTGAAGGCAAACCACTGCGGCTGGACAACTGCCACCAAGAGGGACCAAACCTCACCAAGCACTTGTCTAGAAACTCACAGCCTTCACAGAATGAGCATCTGCTAGGAGCGTGCAAGCCAATGCAGTCGCGGCCTTGGTGTGGTCTTCTCATGCACTTGAAAGAAAGTGGTAGTGCCTGTGAAGGAGAACTTCTTTGCAGAGGGCGAGCCACAGGCTCGCCCCCATGAATGCTGTCCTGTTTGAAAAGGATTGCAGAGTCTTCAGAAACCAAAACATTTAGGCCCAGTTGCAGGCTTTGGGATGGGCGGGGGGCAGTATGAATATGGTCCGCATGGTCTAGGCGACATCCACGGACCGCGACAGACACTGTTTAAAATGAGACGCAGCAGGGCAGTCTCGGCAGGCATGCATGGGGAAAGCGCCCATGTCGCAAGCCAATCTTTTGATGAAAGCACGAAGAATGTATATGGGAAATGGGCCAAGCCGCAGACTGACTACCCTTCCAGATCGTATACTAGCAGCTTCAAGAGAGCACAAGTCAGAGGAGGTTATCGATCAATACTACGCTTGGAGGAAAAATGCCAAAGTGCTGCAGACGCAGACGCCGCCGATGGGAAGAGTGGTCTACAACACTGTACTGACAGCTTGTGAACGATTGAGCTTTTGGTCAAGAGCTTTGGCCGTTCTCCGAGATATGACGTTGATTGGATCTCTTCAGCAACCAAGACATTCTCGCACGTTACCGGACGCGATGTCGTACAACGCTACTCTGGGTGCGTGTGCCACAGCTCATCAATGGGAAGCAACCTTGGACCTCTTCTTGGAGATGCAGCAGTTTCTGTCGCCTGATGCAATCTCCTACTCTGCAGTCATTGAGTCTTGCGTGAAGGCTCGCAAGCATGGCATGGCACAGCTCTTTTCCAAGTGGTCACAGCCATGTTTGGATACAAGCTTGTCCAAGATTCAAGCTGACAAAACATCTCTCCGCTACCGCTATGTCGTTCTCTCAACACTCGTGAGGCGCCAACTTTGGGCTGAGGCGGTGTGCTTGCTGTGGCGATCTGTGCAGCTCGGGAGACCACTCGACACAGATCTCCTGAATTTAGGGATTTCCGCATACCACCGAGGACAAAAGACAGGCGTGGCCTTGAAGCTTCTGCGAGAAGCTGGGAGCGTGCTGGGAGGCATTCAGCTGCCACCAGCAAATTTGGATACCTTCAAGTTGGCGATTCTATCTTTACCATCGCGATCGCCATTCCTGACATTGCAGGCCTTTCCGGCAGACTCTATGAACGGGCCAGGATGGCAAATAGCTCTTGAAATCCTTGAAACGGCGAGCAGTTCACGCCTACAACCGGACATGCAACTGTTTAATTGCGTGGCTGGTGCATGCTCTCGAGCCTACTCTTGGCATGCGGCGCTGGGGGTGCTGAAAGCCTCTAGGCATCATTGCCTAAAGTGGGACATTTTTGCCTATCGTGCAGTCCTGCATGCATCTGCTCGATATTCAACAGGGTCAGACGTGAATATCAGGGTGTTGTGGCGGCAGCTGCATAAGCAAAAGCTTCAGCCGGACACCATCACTTTTGGCGCAGCCATTGGTCTTTGTGAGCGGTCACACAGATGGGTTGAGTCTTTGGACTTGCTGAATTGTATGCCCTGCCCGAATGCTGTCTCTCTAACCTCAGTAATCGCAGCTTGCGCCGCAGGCTCTGCCTGGGCAGTGGCAGTATATTTGTTCTGGGATATGCCATCAAGATGGGGCTTCCGTCCGCATGCCGCCAACATGGTAAATGTGCTGCATGCTCTTGGCAAGGGCTTCCATTGGCAAGAGGCGTGCAATTTGCTTTTTGAACTGGAGTGGGCAGATGAAATCATTGTTTCTTGGCAGCACTATTTTGCGGCAGCCGATGCTTGTGGTCAAGCAGGCAGATGGCAAGAAGCCTTGAACCTCCTTTTTGAGAGGATGCCTCAAGATGTTGGGCCTCCTCCAAGCTATCGGTTTAGTGCAGCAATCAGTGCCTGCAAGAATGCTTTGGTCTTTGCATCAACACATGGCACAAGCGCTGCTGAACTGCGCTCCGCGTCCATTTGGGAGAGTGCGTTGGCACTTTTTGCGTCAGGCTTGGAGACAACCGATGGCCAGGCCTGATTTTGTTAAAAACCAAGCGCATGGCATCCCTTTAAACCCTGCTGCCCTCCCTCTCTAGAAAGAGGTGCTTGTACGGTTTTTCTAGTCTAGTCTGAGGATTTTTGTTGTTTTCATTATTGTTTCTGTGCCTGGAAGCGCCTCAACAGGTTTCTATGCATTCTATGCAGGAGGAAGCAACTGTCTTTAGTGCCACCATCAGCATGCTGGAGAAGGTAGTTATGTGGGAGGAAGCTCTCAGCATTTTTTGCCAGATTCCGATCCATAAGAAAACTCGCGTGGACTACCTCACTACCATTTTGGCACTTCACAGTGGAGCAAAGCCTAAGATGGCAGGCCAAGTTTTTCAGGAATTGGCAGATCACTGTGTTTATGGCATTAAGAGAAATGGGTCCCTTGACTTGCACAACATGCCCGTGGTGGTTGCGGAGATGGCGGTCGAGGCAGCGCTCAGTGACATGGAACAAAGGGAACATGCACATCATCCTGTTCTTGAGATCATCACTGGGCGCGGTGTGCACGGCCCTGGCGAGGTTGAATCGCCCGTCCGCCAGGCGGTTCTGCACATGCTCGAGGGAGGATCTAGGGTGACGTTGCTCCCCAGTCCGAACCCAGGACTTGTTCTGTGCAGAGTGAATAGAAACTTGCTGAGTGCGGACTGGAGAAGTCGTTTCCTGTGCCAACCTGAAATTCAGACCAAGGTTGTGCACGCTGCTCTGTGGAGTGAGGGGGTCCTTCAGTGAATTTACCAATGGCCAAAGCTAGTGTCTTTGTATTGGAGTCCTTACTATAGAGTGTGTGGACCAAGAAGTCCACATTATCACATTCTGTACATTGTAAACTGCTGTGCTTGGACAGCAATTGAATGTCATACGGTACGGGGAGTTCCACACAAGAACTGTGATTGCTTCGAGCAGCAAGCCTTTAGGCTGCCATAGCATGCCAAAGCCGCCTTGTTTAAGTTTACCTCTCGCCGGTATTTACATGCTGTTGCAGTGTTTCCGCTGTTGGCAGTTCCTTTTGTGGAGGATGCCCTGTTCCTTGCTTTTAGTGGAGCACTCAACGAGCTGGGTGCCGTCGAGGTGCAGCAGAGTCAGAGAGCTGTGCATGAATCTCTAGAGTGTATTCATTGTTGCAGTGCCCTAAAAGTGCAGGCAACTTGCCAACAGCTGTTGTCAAGACTGTCCTCTGCTTGATTACCAGTGAAGCTGAAGCTATCATGCATCTGTGGCTAAGACATAGTCACTGAGGCATTCAGGACCGGCGGTTCGCTGGGAGGAGCACCTGAGATTTGACAATTCCTCAGATTCAAAATGTAGTGAAGCGTGCTGCTCATCAGGAGCTTGTGAACCTGAACCCCGTTGTGCAACTTCTGCACGTCCCCCAAAACTTGCAGGCAGTTGCCGTACTACTCTGAAGCTGGACTTGCATTTCATCCATGCTTCTCATTGTAGGATGGAAGCGATGCTGATTGCCAAGGCACAGTAGGTTCTTTTCTTCGGTGAAGGTCAGGAGAAGTAACATCCCTCTCGACTTTGCAAGGCTGGTGGCGAGCCCTCCTTGCAAGGCACGGACTGTACGGTCCAGGCAATGTGACTCGGGGGCAAGAAGAAAGATGTAAAGCAGAGCTCTGTTTTGTGTATCTTATCTGGAAGAACCGCCCGAGCGATCTTCAGGCGATGGGCTCTCCGGAGCTGATAGAAGTGGTCACAGATGCGCTACGCTTCCTGCCCAGTTCCCAGAGATCATCTCGCGGCGAGGTGCTGCACAGATATGTTGAATTCAGTCAGGCGAGATCGACATGCGCCGGAGGCGTCAGCGATGCTGCATGATCTTGCTTTCTTCTGGCTGCCATTGTTGATGGCTGCCTGGATTTCCTTCTCGCAGCCATGCTTGCAGCCGCAGGCGTTCTTACGCAACCTTCGAACTGTGCACTCGGGAGCGTGCTGCTGCCCTGTCGAATGCATGCCAAATTTTTGCAGAGACAGTTATGCCAGGAAACGCTTGAAGGAGCTTTATGGCAGCTTCGAGTTCCACGCTCGCGGGATGATGGGGAAGAGTTACAGGTGCACTGTTGTAGTGGCACGCATGCTACGTTCCGCTTTGGCAAACGAGTCTGCCCAGGAGCGTGCAGTAACCTGTGGAATTGTGCTGGATTCTGGACGCTTGTTGTGGACAGGTGTCGAAGCAGACTCACCCGTGAGGAGCATATTTGTCGACAGGCGATGCCCACCTCTTTTCTGCAGACATGTTATTGTGAACAGCGCGAATGCGGAGTGCACCAGCAATTTCCGCCTGCCCAACAAATCGAAACGATCGAAAAGGGATGGGCATGTACGTGCTTACATGCTCGCGGGGCCTGCGTGGAACCTCCGAACGCTCGGTGGTGGGTGGTGGGGCCAGGATGTGCGAGCCATGCACATTTCTTGATAGCTGGGTTTTCTGTAACATCATAATGCTAACTATGCCAGGTCTGAAAAGTGAAAACTGTCAAGAGCCTGGCTGTTGCGAACTGTCGAATTCTTGGGAGGTTTGCAAAGACAAAGTTCGCGCTCCCTCGGATTTGGTTCGGGCAGAGGCATGCTGAAATTGATGTCCGAGAAGCTTGTCGTTCTTGTGCAGCAGTCGACTGCTGCGTCTCTTCTTGGCGACTGGAAGGTTGAAATGCTGAGAAGTCTTGAGCATCCAAGCGTGCCTCAGGCCGTGACTGAAAAGCAACAGGAAGCAGCACGGGCAAAATATCTATAAGCACCCAGAGGATGCCTTCCCATCCACAGCAGCAGGTGATTGCCAGCTTCGAAGATTTCAACAACATCTACATTGTGTCAGCTACCCAGACACTGCGACACCTGTGCTACTTGCCAGGATTGTGCCCAGTCTGCCACCACTGCCAAGCACGCAGCTATTAAGGCTCTTGCAGCTATTCTGATTCTAGTTGTACTCTTCAGTCATCTCCAAGGACCCAAAAAGGTGTGACCACGCTATTCGGCTTTGAGGGAGCAAGTCTTGCTAAGTTGGTTCTGGTGCATAGCGGCCTCGTCTCACCGAAGATCTACAGGACTCAGCCCATTTGCTTGCAACGTGTTTGCTCATGGGACGTTGCCGCCTGACTCCTTGGTTGGCACTTGGACTTGGCAGTGTATTCGCCGCGAACCTTCCCACGCTGAATTACCTGAAATTGAATGCAGAGCCCGAGCTTCTTTTGGAAGCGTTTGCAAAAGAGGGTATTTTGGTGGTCCCTGGGGTGCCAGGATATGCTTCCGCAAGGACGGCAGCTCTTGAATCTCTGGCACCTTGCCTAGGAAACGGAGGAAGAACCAAAGCTTTGAGGAGATCACTAGCTGACGGATCAGAAAGGCATACAATCGCAACAAGAACTCACGGCCACGCTTTGCAGCCATTGTCTGTCGGATGTCCAGACTTCGAGAGCAAGGCAGATGTGCTCAGAGCAGTCGTGCATGTGGCTCTGGCGGAGGTGTTGCGAGTCTGGGGTCAAGCGGGGAACGGAAACGCGGGAGTGGTTCTCCGCCATGATGCTGGTCATGCGTACAGCAGCCTGGCGGAGGCAGCATCAAGTGCCACACACCTCGAGCACTTCCACTTGTATTCCCGCAAAGACGGTAGTGATAGCAACTCCACTGCTAGTCTTGGCCTTCACACAGATGCTGGCTTGCTCCTTGCCTTCACCTCACCCCTTTACCGAGCAGAGCAGGCCAGCGCGGCCAGCGGGGCTAGCGGGCTGCTCATTCAGCGCAGCGCGGGGAGTTTAGAGCCCGTTGACCTTCCGGCTGACTCCATCACCTTCGTGGTGGGTGAGGCAGCAAGCTGGCTGCCTTGGGCCAGCCGGCCGCTGCCTCACGAGCTTCGCCTGCCCCGTGTTTCAGAACGAGCATGGTACGGTGTCATGACACGGCTCCCGGATGATGCCGTGCAGGCCTCCGCATTCAATCCTGCATCGCATCATCAACAGACATTTGGCCAGTGGTGGGACAGGGCTGCCGATGCATCGGGAGATATGGTGGGTTGTGGCTCGGCCTTTGCTGCAGACCCGACCCACTCCTGTCCTGAAGGTCAGGCTTACTGCTGGATGCAGTGCATGACGCTGCCACCGGCTTGTTCAGAAAGTACAGCCAGGTGCGTGCATCCAGACGGCACACCATGGACAAATCACACTGAGATGTGCCCAACGTGCACGCTGACCTGTCCTGCTTTCCAGGGCTGGGATTTTTGTGATGAGTCGGCTGCATCCGATATGATCATGCAAGGATTTGTCAGCTATGGTCTTACTGGCAACAAGATGAAGCCATGCGTAATTCTTTTTTTCCCAGGTTGGGTCCTAAACACTTGGTGGAAGTTTTGGCTCGGGGCTGGAGCCGTGCTGCTGCTGGGCCTCACTGTTGAATGGGTTTCTACCTTACATGTATCGCCAGATCGCAAGCTGGGACAGTTGTTGCAAACCTCCTTGTATTGTGCGCGGATGACACTGGCCTACATGGTAATGCTGGCAACGATGACATTCTGCATCGAAATCTTTGCTGCCGCCATTTTGGGGCTGGGGCTCGGACACGCATGCTTTGGAAGCTGGAGGAAGGGGGCTCGGTTGAATGGACCCTCCCTGTGCTGCAGCCATGGCTCAATTGACCTTAGGCGCAGACAGTCGCGTGACATTCGAGTGACTCCCTGTCTGCAAGCAGATGACGTTGTAATGCTGCGTGTGGGCGGTATGACTTGTGGAAGTTGTGCCCAGACTGTGACTCATGCACTCGAGGGATTGACGGGGGTGGTGTCTGCCCGTGTGACGCTGGGCCCAGCTGCAGAACCAGGATTCGGACTTGGCTTGGGCACAGCAGAGATATGGGTGAATGCAGGCTTTCCAGGAGTTGATGCTGCGGTTGCTGCTGTCGAGCTGGTTGGGTTCGAAGCGCAGCCCGTACCGAAAGCGTGATGCATGGGGCATCATGTGGCTTCGTTTCACCTCAACTTCGAATGCTGTTCTTCTCAGAAGTGCTCTAGAGCTACATTTGCGCTTGCATTCGGTAGTGGAGAAAATAACTACAGATGCATGGGTTGCCTCAGCATGTCCCTAGGCAGCTTTAAACTCATTGACTGCCACTTGGTGCTTCATGCTTCGAATCTGCTGTGTGGCTCCTGCCTGCCTGCCTGCCTGCCTACAGCCTAACCTTCCGAATGCGTCTCCGCATCGCCTTGTTGCAGGCTGTTGCTGATTGTTCTCTCCCATCGCAACATTTGCACGGTGCATCGGTCTTGCTCAGAGATTCCTTTGAAGCGACAGCAAGGACCAGGAGTTGTCACTGTGTTTGGCAGCCACAAGACAAGAAGCTAAAACTCAGCAACGCTGCCGAAAATCGCAACTTGCACGAGTGTGGGCAAATCCCTGAGCTTGCGACTTTGCAGAAGTGCATCGTTGAAATTCAAAACATGGGTGTGCTGTGTTAGGCGCTGGGATTGGTGCAGAACAGTTATGCTGAATCAACCCAAACTGCCTCGGATCCTGAGAGTTGATGGTCTTTTCGGGCCCAGAGGGCAAAGCTGGATTGAGTCCAAATCCCACAGTGCGCCGGGCATACTTCCGCAGCAGTCTTGCACTCCTCGCGCGGCATGTTCGTCAGGGCGCTGTTACTGCATGGGCATGTGGAGTGAAGTGTGGTAGCTCCTGTGAAAGAGGGCAGTGCATGGCTCCATATGCGGAAGAGACACATAGGTGGGTTCACAGCACAGAATCTCGAACATGCCAGAGGTCAGCTAGGCTGCGTCCAATCAAAGGGTCGCTTCAGTTCAGGGGATGAGTAGGCAAAGAGCAGATAGGGACAAAAGGGCCAAGCTTGTGCAAGGCTTGAGCCGGTGGAGAGCATAGAGCTGGTGAACATTCTGTGGAACTGCCGGGCTTAGGATCAAAGAGATGAGTCATGATGTGCTAAGCTTTACAGCAGATGCCAGGCAGCAATGGCATCAGAACGGGCAAGGATTGAGTGTCGGATGGCTGGTCATCAGCTTACCTTGTGCAAGTCAGCAGCCCATGTGTGTTGTCATCAACGCCGACTTGTCTCCTGTACCTACGCAGAGCTTTCTTTTACTCTGCATTCCGACAGGCTGAGATAGCGCGGCAGCTATTGGAAGCGCTCAGGCAGATTGACGACGAAGCTTTGCATTGGAGCCAAATCGACTGAAGCATACATGCAAAGTCACCTTTCCGTGCGTTTCTGAAAAGTTCTGGAGTGCAATTTGGGTGGGAGGACCATGAAGGAGAGGATGCGTACTTCCGTGCCATCCAATTTGAAGGAGCATGCATTAGCACCTGGTACGAGGCATTGCCACGAAATGCGACCTCGCAGCCGCGCACCTAGAGCCAATGCAGGCATTTTGTTCAACTGTGGTCTTGAGTTACAATCCCAGCAGGCGTAGGCAGAACATATTTGCTAAGCACAGCAAACAATTCTTCAAACAGCCGACACGAGGAGGGGTGCAAAAAAACAGACGACGCTTGAAACTCATCCTCATCATTAATCATCACAAGGGGCATCACAAGGCTCCAGGTTTCAGTTTTTTTGGTTGTGTTTTCGGCAAGGCTTGGTGCATGGAGATATTCGTCTTACAAGTCTTCTACTCTCTGCCGTCACGGATGCTCGGACGGCACCGCAGCTCATCTTGGCGGATGTGGGCCGCAGTCTTAGAAACCCTGACTGAAGCGGGAATTGGGCTGCTTGGAATAGATAAGGCCTTGCGGGGCTTCCACTTCCACCGCCTCCACTTGAAAGGCCGAAGGCATCCTCAGTCCAACAGTGGCGTGAGCCTTTGACGCATCAGGGGTCCGATGTCATCAGCGTGGACCTCAGCTTGCCAATGCTTCCCAGCTTCGCTGGAAAACCCGCCATTGAGCCTTGTTTCCAGCAGTACCTGGATTCCTTGCCACATCACCGTTCTGCAAATTAGCAGTTGGCATGACAAGTTTCCAAGGGCCGCAACTGACAAGCATGCACACCCACCACCACTTCGCCATGGATCCATGCGGCGTCGCTGGAAAGTCGTGGGCGGAAGAAGTTCTGGTGGCTTGGTGGTGCGGGAAGGCCCCTTGGGCCACCTTCACAGCCATTTTTGAGTCGCTTGTTTGGTCATGCAGCACTTTGGGCTTCAAGCAGAATGTGAGGTCCAGACTTGGGCGCCAAGTCTGCCCGTGAACGTTTGGGAACGGGAGCCATCATCGAGGCACACAAGCTAGAAGCTTCAAATTCGGGATGTGCTTCCTCATTCCCTTGTAGGAGCCTTAAAATCACACTCTCACCATTTCGGAGTTGATCGCAGTATGGCAAAATTGGCAAAGCTGCCATCTTCCTGACGGCTGCCAATACTCTGCGCAGCAAGCATTAAAGTTCATGGCTGCTCCACCGGGATTGTAACAATTTTGGATATGAATGAAGCTTTTCGAAGGCAACCAGTGTGAAGTAGCTTGTGTACAGCACGACAGGTAGTAAGAGCAGGTCAAGGTGCTCTGAAGTTAACTTTCAGCCTTTTCACAGGTGAGACCTGGTGTCTAACTTTCAAGCTCATTGCTGTGTGCGCTTTGTAGTTAGATAGTGTCAGATCACGGGTTTGCGGATGATTTCCTCATCTTCAGCCAATTGTGGCATAAGTCGCCATCTCGGTGCTTTTCTCATCTGGTGAGAAAAGGTACATGCGTACTCAGTCAGCGTGTTCCTATCAATCCAGCATACACCCGCTATTGTGTTTGTTGCCTTGCAAGGAAGAGACGAGGCTGGCAATTGGGACCTGTGATCGATTGCGATACCGGAAGCTAATGGGGCAAGGGCCTGAAACTGGCTGGATAAGTTTCGAAGCTAATGGGGCACACCTGATCACCCCAGTGAAGCCAGTCTCTTTCAAGGAGACATCATGGCTGGAGACGACGCGATATCAGGAGATTGCCGAAGTGCGCACAGTTGTGGAGGCAAATTGCACAGACGTAATGAATGCGGTGGCAGCAGCGTTCCAAGGTAACCCGGGATTAATTGGGCCTGATACATGCCCAGGCATAGGAAATCTGAATTGGAGAGACCCATCTACTAAACAGACAGGGCTCCCTTTACCGATGCCAGTCTCTGAGCAATGGCGAGAAGTAGTATGTGCAAGTGCAGAATTTTCTGAGCTGGCGGTTTGGGAAGGTTTCGTTCACAACTCCACGGCTTCGTTTTCGCTCGGCCTTCGGCCCCTGTTTCCTGCGGAGCAATTTGCGAGCCTGACAGCAGGTTCAGATGCAGCAAGGACAGAGTTTTCCGTGCTGGTGGCAAGTGACGCATCAAGACAATCTGGGGCCCCACTTCGTCCCAGGGAACATGTTCAGTCCACCGTTTCAGTATCGGAGCAGTCTTGCAGTGACTCTTCTCGGCAGTTTTTCATACGTGTGGACTGTGACCGTATCACCGAAGCCGTCATGAAATCATTTAGCAAAGAGGAAATTCGTGAATTGGAAAGCCACTTTGAGGTTGGCTGTGTCTTTTGCACGCTGAAAGTGCAGTCCAGGGCAGATGGTCGGACAGAGTTGGTCCGTGGACTCCTGGGTGGCAGTGTACTTATGGAAGCGGCGCCAGGAATGAAGCCCACAGGCAAGCCAGACTTTTCACAAGCGATTCCTTTGCTGGCCAGCCAAGTTCTCTTCATGCTCGACGTGGAAACACGTGTCTGGCTATCCATCCATGGTTTTCGTTTGGTAGACGTTTGGCGTGGCATACGAAGGCCCTTTCAATGGGCAGTTTTCAGCGGGATGAATACGGCAGCTTCTCAGATATATGCACTCGGCAGTGCGACTGATACCTTGGCTGAGCAAGAGCTTGGGCTGGATCTGCCCATGCAGGTAATTGACGAACTGCAGGAAATCTTGCCTGTATGTAAGAATGCTGTTGGCACAAAACAGGGACAATTTACAGAAGGTTCTGTCGACATACCGAGCTTCATATGGCTGCTCAACCGCGTGTGCAGGAGGGCCGACAAGAGCACTGACATCTTCAGAGAATTTGTAGACCTGGGCTCCGGCAGAGGTCATGCACTTCTTGCAGCGCATGCGTTTTTTCCTTTTCGTAAGTGCTGCGGGTATGAGATTGATGAAGAAGCTTTTGATGCTGCTGAAATGTCAGCCCGGCAATACATTCGCTCCGGACTTGCCCTACAAGCGCGCTCAGCGGCACTTCCGCACAAGATGTTTGTCCAAGCGGATTTTATTTCCAAGCCAAACTGGACAGATTCATCTGTTGTTTTCGTAAACGGAGTGACGTGGCCGAAGGAGCTTCTGGCTGCTACAGCCACGTTGGCCTTACGTCTAAAACCCGGTTCCGTGATAATTGTCGTCGCTCGGCGATTCCCTGTGGACAATATGGAGATGTTGCGAGCCTTCGATGTGCGAGGCGATGCTTGCTTGTTGAGCTTCTCACAAACACGGCCATGCCAAGTGTTTGTTTATCAGCGCCGGTAAGTGTCCGTCACTTTGGCCATAGACCGCTCCCCAAACTGACTGCAGCGCGGGCGCAGCACGCAGCGCGCTGTTTGCAAAAGCTGGCGACCGCAAATGCTCTGCTTCTGCGTAGTGTAACCTTGCTTGCCCAAGCTGCACCCAGGTGGCCAACACTGGAGTTCCAGCTCAGAGTCAGCCAGAGGCTTCCAGCAGCATTCGGCTTACGTCTTAGCCGGAACGGTGTGCGAAGCTGCAGGACTGGATGCAAGGTCCAAGCTCATTACTTGATGTATGGTCATGTGGGTGCCAGGCCTAACTAAGCTTTCTATACAGACTCTGTTGTCCGAACCGATAGCTTGTAACATGACTGAGGTGCTTATTGTTCATTCTGTTGTCCGGGCGCCATCCCTTCAATGCTGATCCTGGCGGAAGACTGCCAATTCCTCAGACAAAGTGCGCTGGCGTTTTTAAGGGCATGCCCAAACTGCTCAGCGTATAGGCTTCCCAGCGCTGCGAGAACACAGAGCTCCAGTCAGCCGCCTGAACCAGATTGGCGGCTGACCGGCCCTCAGCAGTGATCTGTCGTTTGGGTGTTGGACAAAAGGAGTGTTTTTTCTATTTCTATCTTTTGGAGGCTGCCTTCTGCTTCCTCAACGTCCCTCTGTGCACAAATGCTGTCGTGGGATGTGAAGGTAGCTATGCAGAACGCATTGCTATATTCTCTGAACATTGCAAGCAGGCCCGTCCGTCAGCAGCAGAATGCTTGCGACATTCCTGGTTGTCAGCAGAGGCTGTAATACATTCTCTACTCTGTAGCATGTTTCGCATTTGCCTGTTTCTTCTCAGGAGTCCGATTGCATGGCCCTGCCCATGGAGGTCACGGGTTGCAAGCAGATTGAGCTGCTGAGCGTTGAACCTCGCACGTACAAGCGCAGGCTCTTGGCAACTTGCTGAAAGCCCACCACAAATCTAAACTGCAGGAGGTGGAGTCGAGTTGCACGTTGTATTAAATGCAACTGCAACCTGCATGATGCCTCCTGTGTTCGAAGATCACTGCGGGCTTGGCAATCTCAGAGCAGATTGCAAGCCCCTTCTCCGCGGCCAGTCCCTTAGCATACGTATCAGCGCTTGGAGCTGCATCCAACTTTGAGAAGGTTGGTGCTGCATTGGCGGTCAAGCGCTCCTTCCCCGACTTAGCAGGCTGCACTATGGCATTCCGTTTGTTGAGGAGGGATGCGTGCAGACCACCAGGTGATGTTACAGCTCAGGCAAGCCAGGCCAACAGTTGGGCTTGTATGTGAGGTTGTACAAAAGAAAAGCTGAGATGCTTCAAGGAACCTGTGGTCGGCTCTGTTACGTCATCAGAAGCCAGCGGTGCTTTGAAGAAATTGGGGATGTCCGCGCGAGGCTCATGCTGGGACATGTGTTGCTTGTTTGGTGGCTCCGCTGAAGCATGCCAAGGACAAGGGCATTGAGAAAGTCATCAAAGCCTTCTCAGATGATACAGGCTTCGGTATTGTATATGACCGTCCTTGAAGCAGTTATTGTCAGGCTCAGTCGACCACAAGCTTCTCATCTGCCACTGCACAGAATTGGCCGAGGTTTTTCGTCAGTTTTTGTGCGTGAGACCAAACGATGACATGTAGAACAGGATCTACTTGATCATGCACTCTGGCGTGTCTTTACAGCGGCCCGGAGCCAGAACGGGGTGGTTAGCCGTGGTGACACTTCTGTGCCCAAGGCCGGCGAAGATCACAGAGGAGTCTTGGGTGCTGCTGAGCTGGAAAAGGCTCTTGCTGAGAGCGCAGGTGAAGGCGAGAGGAGCAAGTAGATTTTGGTGCCGCTTGCACTTTGGACGACGCCTTGTCTTTAGGTGGAGCTGATAGGGCAGGTGGCGGTGAGCCCGAAGGGATCTGCACTTAGCGGACAAGCGTGTTGATCTGCTTGTTGACCAACAAAGACCATCCTTTTGGTGTGATTGAGGCCCTTCGGCTCTGAGATGAAAGCCAGCGACATAGTGAGACAGGTGGCATGTGGCCGTCAGCAGGTGCCACACCAAGCCCAAGCTGCCGCTTGCAAGCCCTGGCATCCTCTGGCATCCTTGATCATGCTTGTAGGTCACTTTCGAAGAGCTTCGAGCAGCAGTCATCCAGCGCCAGTCTGTGACGCAGGCGTTGGAAGCGAGCCCGAAACCCTACAAATCAAGATAAGTGGGACTTGGAGAACTTTGACATTAACTTCTTGACTGCTCCAGGCAGACTCTCGAGCGGAGTGAAGCTGAAGTACCATGTGCAACTGCGCTTTGAGGCGTACGTTAAGTTGCAGAATTAGATTTGTCAGCAGACCGCTCCACAGTCTGGCTTCCGGACCTAGGATCAAGTCTGCGAGATTAGCTTTCTCGCCTGCCAAAGAACAGTGGGCTTACGACTTATTGATCCAAAAGGAAAAAAGTAGCCAGCAAATTTCAATACTGGGCGAACAGAATGCTGGTGCATCATTGCCTATGCAACATTTTGCTTCTTGAAAGGCCTCCTAGGCCCAAACCGAAGCCTCATGGGTTGCACAGGAGATTTTGTAATGCGTGGATGCGATAGTTCCAAGGCCAACTTGGCTTACTAGATTCTAGCGTAGATGTGTGACTTGGACAAGCGACCGATAGAGAGAAGGAGAGAGAGAGAGTGAGAGAGACGCAATGAAAGAAAGAAAGAGACCACAACATTTGGAGCCATACCGTATGTGGTGTGTGTAGCCATTTCAAGACAGCAGCAAATCTGCGGAGCAAAGCAGTTTTATCGCTTTCTCATACTTGGACACCATGCCGCCAAAAGCCGTCGCGTGCCCAGGGTGTTTTTCTTCACAAGATTCTCAGCTTCTCCGCCTATTCTTCCCGTTGAAGGTGGACAAGGCCAAGCAGAAGGAACGAGAAGCTAAGATGATCTTTCCGCAGGGTTCATGTTCTTTTGTGGAAGTTGATTGCAGATCTGAACGAATGCTGTTGCCCAAGCTCGTCAACCCACTAAGGAGAAGATTGCCATTGACAAGACGTTCGGACTCAAAAACAAAAACAAGAGCAAGGTGGTTCAGAAGCCGCCCATATGCAAAAAGGCTTTGGAAATCGAGTCACATGCATCGTCTACGTCTACGCAGCATCGTTTGCACATGCACTTCATCATTCTCGATGCAGAAGTTTGTGCGCAGTTGTAGGGTTATAATGCGAACGTCGACTGGCGAGGTGTGGTAGTTCAGCATGTGCCATATCTGAGTGGTGCTTTTGGTAACGCATGACTGTTCCAAGGTTCGTTCAGCTTTGGGCATGTAATGTCTCGTTGGCTAGGGCTTTGCAAGGTACGTCAAGTCCATCACAAGCAATGCATCAGGCCAACCTTGCTGCTTTTTGTTCGGTGGTACAGTCATCAGCGGTAGTTGTTTTGGTGCAGGTGCTCCAAAAGGTGGAAAGGAACAAGCAGACCGCGATGCCAAGGAGTGCGCCTCTGCCCCTTTGCGGGTTCTACAGGCTTATTTGCCATGCGCCATGCTCTCGGGTTTTTCGTTGGCTTCGTGCCGCTCTTCACTCCACTCCTGCCTGCAAGCAATTGTGTCGCCCCCACTATCACCTCCTCCGCATGTCACAACAAGAGCCCAGCTTCTGGGAAGATTGAACAGGCAGCCTGTGCAGCGCTTGGGTGGGTGAAGTGATGCAGGACGCAAAGCAGAAAGAGATGCAGAAGGCCGCACTCATGAGCCTTGACAGCGAGAAGTGGAAGTCTTCATTCCTTGATAGATGAACCGAATGCGCATTGAAGGGCACGTGTAGAAGTACCGTGTCCGGCCAGCTCTGGGCTGTCCAACGTGCAAAACTGTCAATTGAAGCTTACTGCACGCTGCAAGCATTCCAACCAGCTATGCATGTTTACCTAGGAATTCTCTTTTCAACCTTTCCACGGACAAGAAGGGGCGAGCGTCGAGCACTGTTGCCTTTCAACTTTTCGCAGATGTCATTCAAGTGACCGGGATCAAGGTTTGACCCCGTGGCGAAGAAAAAAGCTAAAGCAGCAGAGGAAGAGGTTGTGAATTCCAGCTTTCCTTCTCAACCTGTGAAGTGGAATTTGTGGATGTTCGATGCGTTTGTTGTGTAGCAGGCTATTGCAGCAGGCAGAAAGCTCAAAGATGAGTTGAAGAAGGATGCTGCCAAAGGGCATCTGCAGTATCATCTTTTGGTGCTGCTGTCCAACCCTCTGCAACCGCTTGAGGAAATCATTGAGGGTGTTGCAAACACGATTCGCTTGACAAACCCCAAGGCAGACGGTGAAGTCCAAAAAGACATGTAGTGAGCTGATAAGCTTCTGGTCTCCGCGGAGTCTGCAGGGCATCCGGATGTCTGAAATGGGTGGCCATCCCATCATCCAGGTGCCACTGGCCATTGATTAATTGCTATTGCTGCTTGACCAGCTCTTGGCAGGCCCTCAAAAGCAAGCACCAGGACACCTTCAAGACCATCCAGCTCTTGCTTTTCATTAAGGCTTGCCAAATTTGCATCTGCCTTAACAGAATCAGCATTTGGTCAGAAGTTTCCTTGCATGACTGCATCAGGCACACGACAAAGTCTTCTGGGTAGATGACCCGGAGAATACCAACCCCGTCATCAGATGCTTAGAGGCGCTTCCCTGCTTTTCCAGCTGGCTTTTAGGGTTGGCAAGCACTGCCAGGATGTTGAAGCAGAAGTTGCCCCTGATGAGAGACCGCTGGAGGACACGCTTCAGGGTTTCATGCTCCCCGTAAATCAGGATCCAAAGGTTCTTCTGTAGCAGGAAATTATTGAAGAACGCAGAGCCGCACTACCTCCTGGTGGAACCCCAGTGACACCGGAAACTTTCAAGGTTGGCTCACTTTGGGAGACCCCAAGGGATTGTAGTCTTGACAAGCAAAACAGTCCACAAGGCCTGGAAGGAGAAAAGGGAGGCCACTGCAAGCTGATGATTGGCAGTTTGCAACTGCGGCGGATAGCGGATACTCAGAGCCGCGTCCAGGCAGAGCGGCTGGCAAAGGTGGAAGCTGATCGACAAGAAAACATGAAGAAGGGTACTGCCAAGGCACCGAAAAACTCAAGAGATTGGCTTTGCGAGGTGTACTTAGTGCAAGTTCACTCCAAGATGTGCTTGTCGGCCAGCACGCATTTGTGACCAGGGCCTCGTTGGCATGAGCGGACGAGACCTCTTCACGTACGATGCATCGCTCTTCAAAGACGAAGAGGGTGCCGTCTCCGCAGATGAGTACGACGAGCGGGAGGAGGCATTCAGCAAGTGAGCAGCATCTGCAAGTCGACTGTCCTTTTCATACTGCACGGAGGACCCAGAATATGATGACGACAACGGCCAGACACATGGTGTTGTTCCCATCTTAGACACATGGGCATCTGCAACGGGCAATGGTAGATGCACTGTTGACAAAGACTTGAAGGCACAGGATCTGCAGGATGAAGTTGGTGAGGAGGCGATGTGCACATGATGGCAGTAACTCAAGAACATCGCTTTGGCACACTCCACGACTCATACATGCTTTGTGGACTTTGTGGTGTCTTTTCTGCCATGCTTCAGCTGCTGAGACGATCAGCTAAGTATTCTTGGAGCCAGGATTCGGGCGATGAAGCTGAGCCAGATTCTGGAGCCAGAGGAAGCAATGAAGGTGTAAAGGAGACCCAAATGCGTTGGTGCTCCATCCTGGCATTGTGCCGAAGTGCTTGCCTTGCGAGGAGGTGGCCGGTGCCATCAATGAGAAGCTCTTTCTTGAGGACCGCAACGCTGCGAGACTAACAGCCACCAAATTGATGGTTATGCAGTGAAGCCGTCTTTCGGCTTGGCTGCAGCAAAATACAGGTGTCTCTGCATAAGTCTTGCAGGAGGAGGACCTGCCAGACGATCTTGATGACTTAGACGAGGCAGATGAGGAGGCTGTCGAGGAAGGCAAAGGGTGATCCAATGGGCAATTTGTTCAGATTTTCACCTGGTCCAGAAGTGACAGTGTTTCAAAGCGGTGTCGTGGAATACCTGGAGATGAAGTTGGCTTTGCAGATCCTTTGGCTGCACGTTTCACTCGAAAAGTAGCTTTGTGGAAGGGGCCCGGTGAGCTGCAAAGGCTCTCGACTTGCTGAGCTCACCGGCCTTCCAGCGCCAGAGGCATTTAGGACAGGTTTGCCAAATTCCGGGGCTTGCGCTAAGAGGCCCGCCAAGTTTTGTGTTGTTAGCCCCCGAGTATAGTTTATCAGCATGGTATGGTAAACACGTTTGGACTGGACAGTTATAGCATCGGATAACAAGGTAAGGCTTGAGAAGAAAAACGCACAAAAGAAACGTTGCGGCCCGGCCATTGCACGCCTACCAAAGACTTTGAAGCACAAGCAGAGAATAAAAAGCGCGTAAACGAAATCGTCGTAGCCCCGTGGTTTTGCACCCCCACTCCAAGACTGTGAGGGGACACCAGGCAGTGGTGTCAAAACCCGAGCAGGTTTGCCCCTAAATCAAATGCACAGCTGCCTCGGCTTGGCCTCGAGCAAGCCATCTCCCTTGGACCTGCCATGGTGCTGTCTCCATGCAGGCGAAGAAGTTACAGGAAAGGCGCTGAGACTCTCCAAGTTTCGGGTTTGACGTAGCAAGAATGGACAGCCGTCTAAACAAAGCGTGAACCCCAGCAGTCGGCGTAGGCCTAGTCTGGCAGTTACATGCATTTGTTGAACAGGCGCGCCTGGCAGCGGCTGCCAATCTTGGACAGCTGCGCAAGGTTCACATCTGTTCCACAAATTGATGGGTTAACTTTTCGCGGAGGCATTATGGGTTGATTTTGGGCTTAGACTTGGGCGTGCTCCAAACTTGCTCTAGTTGGCCTACTGAAAGTGAGAATCGTGTAGATCCGTGCTGGACGCCAGCTAAACCTCCCCAAGGATGGTGCTGTTTTGCTGTTGCAGGTGCTTTTCGAAGCCCATCATGATGCTTGGACTGCATCTTCTTTGACTACCGTGACTTGGTTGAAGCTGGAGAGCCTGAAAACTAGGTTGGAAGTGAACAGGCAGCTGTATGCCATGAAATTAACCTGCATAGGATTGGAATACAGTAGAATCAGAAACCTTGCCTGTAGTCCTCAAGCTACTGTTCCGAGCATCAGATTTACCAAATGGACCATATTAAACATTTTTGTGGTAGAGTTAGGGTCCCAAGACTATTTTGTTTCAATTAGAGTGGATTTCGTATAAGGAAAATTGACTACATTGAATTTTTGTTCGGGGAACCCATTTTGATAGCATAGTGAAGCATGCAGTTTAATAGAGATGCAATGCATTCCTATTCTTTTTAATTTGAACCGCTAACGCGAGACCGCCTATGCAAAAGGCAGTCGAGGCGTCAGAACAGGGAAGCAGGGACAACAGACACCCCCACCCCCCACACCCCCCCATCCCACCCTCCGACGACCCTCCATTGTCCCTGGCCTCGGCGGATGGAGGTCCAAGAGCCCCCATGACCCAAAGAAGGATGTTCTCTTGGATTTTTCATAGAGATTCAATACATTCCTATTCTTTTTTAATAGACATCCAAGAGCGCCAATGACCCAAGAATGATTTCCTTTTTATCCAGTGCCCGTGCCGCAATTCTCAATTCTTATTCTGGGGGGGGGGACCCCCCAGATTAATCAGATCCTCAGATTAATTTCTCGGCCTGGCAGTTTCATGACGCTGCGCTGCCTGTGGGTCAAGGCTTGGCACCGTTTGGCGAAGCTCTCTTCTAGCAAGTCGGAGCTTGTGAGAGCTCAATGCCTCTCACAATTAACATCGACGCAGCTGCGCATCGGGTTTGCCGAGCTGCCGCCCCGGGGGATAGCTTGATACTTGGTTGAAGCTTGTGCTTATGGTGCAGACGATGCACTTTGCAGCTTTGGCGCGAGAAAGCGGACAGAACCAAATCCAAGTTCGAAAGCATTTATAGCCACGCCTCAACAGAAGGTATTGAGTAAGCACAGTTGTTGAGCGAACTTGAGATGGTGAGAAGCCTGATGTGTGTCGGTAAGATCCGAATCCATCACACCTTCAACTCCAACCTGCTACCCGCAACACCTTTGGCTACAATTCAAGAAATTCTTAGAGGTCTCGCTGCATCTCTAGGCGTTTGCATGGCAGATCACGTTGAAGTCAAAACATAATGCGTGTACCGCTAGGGTAGGGCATGTGGTGCGTCTCAGCTGAAGTTGTGGTCTGACCAAGGCACTGTCTGGGCGTGGGGCAAGCTGGAACACAAGCACATTGACTGCCTGAATGGGATGGTGCAGGCCATCCCCACTGTTTTGGCAGATTTCTCGACACGAGAGTCTTAGCTGTATCAATAGTGTGCCTGCAAGTCAGTTGGCCCTGGGAAACCTTCCCGTTGCAGCTGATACTGTGTCAGCTTTCTATTGTAATGTTGCAAAGCTGCAACACTTGGTACTAAGTCTCATTTCAAATCTATTGCTACTGCATTTGCGGATAGCTTGCAGTACCGTGCGACATCTCGACTACAACATGAGCATTCAGATTGCTGAAATAGAAAGGTTTTGCAACTGGTCACTTGGCATGTGTGACTTAGAGGGATAGCATAGCAAAGCTGTGTTTACATGGGTGGAGGTTACTAGGAGGCGGCCGATCGACGAGTATAGGTGTTCTTTCTATTGAATCGAGTGCTTTGGAAGCTCATGGTGGATGAGCGCAAGCCACTGGTCCGCCTAGGCTTAGGCAGATCCAGCTTTGGTGAAAATGAGCGATCATTCAATAAAGCATCAGAGATCAAGTTCTAGGAGATTTACCGTTATGCACTTCCTGCTCCATGTGTTCTTAGCGGAGTCTTTCTGGATTTTTGAGGCAAGTGCGTTGGCATCATTTGTTTTGACATGCGTGGCACTCCGAAAACGGCATGTTGAAGCCGATGCTTATTGATTTGTTACGCAGCCGAATGTAGTAGATCCGAGCTCTAGACTGTAGTCCGCAAACACTGATTAGCCTTGACTGGTCTAGCGTCAACTCAGGGACGAGCTGCTCGCAGCAACAAGATACCGCCAAGGCTTTCCATGTTTCTTGTACTACGGAAGCTGAAAAGTCTATTGCAGCTCTTTTCAGGATGTGTCAAATGTCCTGTATGGATTTGGCCTACTGCGACATCGGCCAGTTCGGGTTGCGGTAATGCTGATCGACACTTTGCCTGGGCGAATGCTGGAATGCAGCAGTCAGACAGTGGCCAACTCTGCATATGCCTTGGCACTGCTCAACCTGAAGCACAGAGCGTTTTGGGAGTCGCTTTCAGACTGCGTGCCGAATCAGATTCACTGCTTTCAGGCACAAGAGCTGTCCATACTGTTGTACTCTTCCGCGCTGATGAGAGCTCGACACGATGCACTTCTGCAGGCATCATGTGAGAGCGCACAGCTTCGGCTGCACGAGTTCAGTCCTCAAAATATCTCGAATCTGGTGTATGCCCTTGGCCTACTGCGCTTCATGGAGACGTCCTTTCTGGAAATGACATGTCTTCTTGCATCACACAACTTGGACAAGTTCACAGCACAGGGCATATCCAATATGACCTACTCGCTGCCTGCTGTTTTCAGCATCTTTCTTCATGACCGGTGCAGCCCATGGCAGGGAGGCAGACTTGCTATTGTGCCTTTCAACGGATCCCCAACAAGAAAACGCAGATCGCTTAGTAGACATCCTTTAAGGGGTTCTTACTAGGACCCTGTCTAGTATTTCGAAAAGGAACATGGTTGGCAGAAAACGGTTCAGTGTCAGGCTGGGCCTCCTAGCCTTTGGCAATAGCGCCTTCGTGAATCGTCTATGCCTCGACTTGCCACAGCGTGCTTGGGAGTGCCTTGGCCGGGCTATGGATGGCTTTGAGAAGCTTGGGTCTTTCGCTTTTTTCGCTGTGTCGGCTTTGTCCCCTTTGGCTTGGCTCCTCAGGCTGTCCCCGCAACACATAGGCAACATTGCATTTGCCCTGAGCCGAATCTGTCGCGGGGAAGGACCTGCATTGCACTCGCGTGTCCCGTGTGAGCAAGAGAAACAAGCATCAGAAGCTTTTGGTGCTCTGCCTGCAGAAGATGAGAGAATCCCATTTGGCCAAAGCTCTATTGCCTTTGAGACACAAGGACTTATTGCAGTGATTGTATCGTTGACAGAAAGGTATGCCTAGCTTTCCACAAAGGCACTTTGCCGCTGCGTGTGGCCCCTGCTCATTGATGACAGTGAAAGCTCTTGAAAGATGTCACAGCACCCTTCTTCACAAGACTTTGCTACATGCATCATCTAGATGTCCCTCCACGACCACTGATGTTAGATGCCCACCCGCTCGTGATACACATGTCCAGCGAGCATGGACGGAACGCAGGGTACAAGGGCAATGACTCAAACGATGCCAGGATTCAGGAACTGATGGAACAATTGAAATTGCGGAATGTGCGTGCATGGATGGCAGTGACAAACAATGCTGGCATGCTGGTGCCAGCTTCTTTGCAGAAACTTTGCAAGAAGCAAGGGGTTGAAGCAAGCAGCCAGGAGGTGGAGCACCTGCTGTGCGGGCTTTTGGATTCAGCATGCGGGAACAGCAGAGGCCCAGTTGCTGCCTACAAGCAGCTAGATGCAGAGTCGCTGAAAGTACAATTCTCGCTACTCTGCGCCAAATCTAGCTTGAGCGAAGATGCCTTGACATGCGAAGAGTGGCTGAACTGGGATGGCCTCAGGGCTTGCAGCGACAGTGTTAGTACCGAAGGTGCGCGGAGCCTATGGAATCGAGTGGTGGGGCTTGGCAAGTCAGCAAAGGAGGCTGACTTCCTTGAGCTTGCGCTGGTGATGCAGCAGGAGTGTGGCCTTGCCACCACAATTCAGTCATTTTTGAGAGGGCATGCAGGCCGCCGCCGAGCGCATCATCAGGCAGAAGAGGCTGAGAGCACCTGCCTCGAAAACGTTGTGAAACTGGCTCCCTATAACCCGACTCCAGCATGTGCTATAGAGCAAGCGTTGGATGCACTCTCAGTGCAGAATGGAGACATCTTGTACGATCTGGGGTGTGGAGATGGACGGATGATATTAGCAGCAGCAAAACGAGGAGCACACGCGGTTGGAGTTGAATACGACTCGCGCTTTGCCCAGAAGGCTTCAGAAGCCATCCGTGAGGCGAAGCTTGAGAGTTTGGCCCAGGTCATCTGCGGCGATGCGCTGAGCACTAATCTATCCAAGGCAACGAAGCTGTTTGTGTACTTGGTTCCGGACGGGCTTCGCATGATGAACTCTGCGTTGTCGGATGCAAGTCGGCGAGGCGTGCCCATTGCGAGCTATTTGTTTTCATTGCCGGGCTGGTGCCCGCATGCAGTTCTGACTGCTGAGACACGGAATCCAGAATGCAAGGTCTGGGTGTATCTGGATTCCACGGCTTTGCCAAAGGACAAGCCGTGTCCAAGAGAGTCTGGAGCGCTTCAAGCATCGGGAGACCCTATTGAAAAGGCGGATTGCTTTACATAACGTTTTCTTGCTGACACTTTGAAAACATGCGCTATGACAAGAGAAAGTGCACAGCAACCGCTTCAGCATGGAATTTACAAAGTCGCAAAATGCCGCATAAAGTCTTGAAGTATAAAGCCTCAATTATAATTTTCAACATTTTCTTGTGCTAAGAAAACATGACCGCTTAAACTAATTTGGCATAATAGCTGCCTTGCGAAAAGGGCAACTTACTTGCTGAAGTCCCCTGGCTAGCAGTTTCGAGGGGCTTCCGATGGGTGAGGTCTGGACATAGGCTAGAGATGGGAGAAGCATATGCAGACACCGTCACTGGACTGCTATAACGATCCTTGCGAACTGATGCCGTGACGGCAGAACGCCGTTCTTGCTGGAGATGCCAAAGCTTGCAGGATTTGTTTTCGCTTTTTTTCGCCGCGTCGAGCCTAAAGCAGCATGTAACAAAGCAAGTTGACGCCCAGGCACTGCAAAGGGGACCGCACGGTAAGGTGCATTCTGGAAGAGCAATGCGCTGGTATCATGCGTGGTGGTTACTGTAGGAAGGAGTGGCAGGGCTCTGCATTTTGTTAACTTGTGCTAGTGCTAGTGTTGTAGGCCCTCATCTATCTTGCGTCGGTGGGCTGTTGACGTACGGCTTTTTAAGCAGCGTTCGAGGAATAGTTGGTATGGGCACATGAGTCGTAATGTCAACGCACCAGCCCTGCAGTATGTTGCGATGTGTATGGCCAGACCTTTCGGATACATCCGGCTTGACACCAAAGCACCTTCAGATTTTCTTGAGCATGTTGCGCATGCCCGACTTCAAGATGCGTTTTGTTCAAGTATAGGAAGGGCTCACGTTGACTGCACTTGGCCTCTTGAGCACAGAGCAACCCGGCTGCAACCAGTGCCGCTTTGGCATGAGCATTTCACGGAACTTCCTAGAAGCAGTCAGCTTTCCGCTTGTCCATGCTGTCACTGATGTTGCTCCCCTGTAGTCTGATGCCTGCTCATCTTAGGAGCCACTATAACACATTCCTGATCCATCCGCAGCGGTAGCTCCAGCTGTTTATCCGCCGTCTTCTGATTACACCTGTGAGCTGAGGCAACGGCAAAGTCTTTTGCTTGTCGAGAGCCAGGCACCCGGTCTCCGCAGAAATTCAGTGCGAGCTGCCTACACAGAGAAACCTCTGAACAGTTTGCGTTGCCTTGAACTTTCAGCTGGGAGTACACGGAAAAGTATTGCCGCAGCACTAGGATGTATTGAATCATACATTGTGAAGGACCTAAGGCAATTGAGCAGTACGCGAAATACCCCACCTCTTGGGAGTAGTCTTCGTGGGTTTAGGCAAGACTCGTTTGGGAAGAAGGAACATTGCCCACCGCTCAATTGGATCCTGCTTGCAGCAGCCCCAAAAGCCCAGATCAGCCGTGAAGTAAAAAAAGCGCAAGAACCCCAACTGCCATGAGGCCAGCTGTGCCTGCATACGTGCGGACATGGGGTGCAACACCAGCCAGAGCCCACGCTGACTTGATGCTCGAGGGTCGAGCGGAACATGGAGTGATGTTTGAGGTAGTACTGCCGCTAGCTCATCTGCTGGGCCCTTATAGTACGTGTTGGCTTGCTCCTCACCGATTAAACTTGCAAATTCCTGGCTCGGAGGCCAGTACAAAAGATGGAAAAACCACTGGCAATGCGCAAGACAAGCAGCAGGCAGGGTGTGCACCGGTGTACATCGCTCAGGACTCATGTGCAAATACCCAGAAACCGACAGAGAAGGCTTTTTTGCCTTGTTCTTTGGAGGCCAAGGAAGAGAATAAACAGTATCAGGCCTTGCATGCATGATGAATTTTTTTTGATTTGCAGAAGCATGCATGTACAGATGCCGCAGGCGACCATGTCGTTCCTGTCGCAAGTCCCACTCTTCATGAGACTGCCAAAGGCGTGGCAAGCGAGACGTTTGTGGATCTAGAAAGTCCGTAATCAGGGCCAAGGTCAAATACTTGATGTCGAGATTCGCTTCCAGGACCAGCATCCCATCCTGGCTGCTGCCTGTGTCAATCAGCCGTGCCCCACTTAGTGTTGCAGGGCAAATGCCGCCCGCCCTGCTGGCTACCTTTTTTTTCTTCATGTCCCTGGTTGCTCGTACCAGGTTCAAGGCAGGTCAGACCATCATCACGCAGGTGGGCTGGATTCGCATTACCTATGCACCGCCAAGTGATGTGAAGTGTAACTGAGATGACGCGCGTTTGGTTTTTTGCTTGGCTTTGCAGGGTGAAGTTGGCAGAGAGTTCTTCATCATCCAGTCCGGAGAGGCGGAGGCGGATTCGGCAGATTTCTTCGCCCTTTGCTTCCTTGCTGTCTTCCTTTCAATGAGCTCCGCATGGCTGTGAGGTCCTGGTTGGCGAGGCAGGAAATCAGAAGAAGGTGGGGCCTGTTGTGCGACCCGTGTGACATGGCATTGACAATTGTTTGGATTCAAGGTCGCGGCGCTGAAGCAGGGCGACTACTTCGGAGAAAATGCCTTGCTTCGAAATGAGCCCCGCTCTGCCACCATCAAGGCTTCGCACCATGTGTGCGTAGGCAGTTCCGGTCAGATTCATGAAAAGAACGCCGGTGGGTAGAAATGCTCAGGAGTTTGCGAAAGGCTATAGACAGCTTTGATTTGTGCAGGCGGTGACCGAGATCAGGACCCTCAAGATTACACAGGAGAAATTCCAGGCCTGGTTGCTTTTGTTTCGGAAAAAGCACAAAGTTGCCAAGTGCGACTGTTGCGGCTCAAGCTTGTCTGGCAGGAGTTGGGTCTGAATGAGAAGATCCAATTTGCCAACAGAAAAGCAGTGGGTGCTGGAGGCAAGAGACAGCTTGTGGCACGGCCCTCATTTTGCCTGCATGCTGACAGTGGGCAGCGCAGACTTGATGGAGCCCGTCTGAATGACCATAAAGCTGTAGCTGAGGTGCAGCCGCCGTCAGAGAAGAATGGAGATGAGCGGCAGCTGATGGAGAAAGCGCACGGCACTCACATCAGCTGCTTGTGGAAGTTACTTTGGCATGCTTTGGCGGTATCTGAGCCGGCTCACGATCGTGCAGGTTGAAGAAGAACGAGAACATCCAGACAATGGTGAAATTAGACGAGCTGGGCACTCAGCCAGGTATTTTTCGTTTGTTGAGTTGGCAGAAGGAAATCTGATCTAGCATCTACGCAGGATCCGTGTGAAGCAGATCATTGACATTGCCTGGAAAGAGCACGTATCTCAGTGACACGGAATCATGACACTGCACGCAGATCTTTGCTGTAGTAAATCTACAAAACCTTAGCTGAGGAACGTCCCTAGCGGCAAGGAAATCATCTCTGAAGGCAGGTATGTAATTTGCAAGAACACACTGGATCAATCCTTATTGCCTGTACCCCGTCCTTTGACTTGTTGCAGGTGATCTGATTGCGGACTATTTTTATGCTGTCTTCTCAGTGTTTCCCACATGTTCTTGGGCACAGCACGAGGTTCATTGTTTTCCATGTGGAAGGATGAAACTGACCGCTGAGATTTGCCAGTCGGGGACATTTGAGATCTTTGTTGCAGACGCCAAGAAGGGTGGCCAGGGGTGCCGTCCTGATTCTGCATATTCAGCTGCGAGTGCGCTGTGGCGCCATAAATGCACAAACAGGTGTCTTGTTTTTGCAGGGGCCGGAAGCTGGTGCAAACTGTGACGGCTGGTGGCAGCTTTGGGGCCCCTTAGCTGCCACAGTGCGTGAGAGTGCTCTTCTGCCTCGCAACCACCCATGCTTTTTGTGCAGGAGCTGGCCTTGCTTTACCTGGTGCCACGGGCTGCCACAGTCATTGCGAAGGCTAGGCGCCACTGTGCAGCATGCCCTGCAGCATATGTTTGCAAAGCGCAATCAGGAAGACTCCTCTGTTTGGGTCATCGATCGCAAGAACTTCAAAGACATTTTGATGAAGGCATCGCCCCATCATCTGCAAGCAGGGAGCATTTCCAAGTTGGCCAGCATGCGCATTCCTTTGGCTGTTGATCTCGGAATTTCCTGGAGCGGGATTGAGCTAGACTGGAAACCTTAATCTCTATTGACTAAATTCAGGGCTGGGGTTTGGAGAAGCACAGTACCAGAACGGGCGCAGGCTTTCACTCACCCATTCACTCCGAATTCTTGCCTTCCCAACCAGCGGATGCAAGGGGTTGATGCAAATTGAATTTCACTGCAAGCAACTCCCAAGCTGGATGGATGAAATGGAGGTCCCGGGATGGAAGCAGATGGGGTGCAGGAAAGCGCGTCGAAAACACCGGCCTCAGGAATTTTCTGTCCCAAGCATCATGTCGATGTGACGGGCTTTTTTGGGATAAGTTTAGAGGGAACTGCGCGGAGTCCATGATGGATTCGGCACTTCCACATACAGTGAACACAGCATCCTTGCAGTTGGCCTCGAAATTGTGTTTTTGCAAAGAGCGTTCTTATGTCACAGGTTTTTGGGCCGCTTCTGCATGAAGCCTCCTCGATTTTGGGGTCACGTCGTGCACCTGCCGTTTTGCGAACTACCGGACTGTCTTGGCCATCTTGCTGCTGCGAGTCCCATACGGCCGATAGTCTCGAAATACAGACCAGTCGTGGCTTTTGGATTGCCGCGATGGCGCGGAGCGTCCTCAGCCTTTGCAGTGCTGGCACTTGGAATGCTCTTGGGGTGCTCCTGGAGTGGTACTGCAACGCTCTTGGGGCTGTAGGTGTCCTCTTCTTGCCCTTTTGGCCTTTGGAAGTGCTCTTGAAGAGCTCTTGGGGTCCATTGACTGGTCCGCTCTTTCAGACACCATGTGTACTGGAGTGGTATTGGAGAGCTATTGATCTACGCCGTCAGAATTGATACATTTTCTGTTTGCTTCGTTCGGACGTCCTGTAGTTGCTGACTTCATTTACGCGGGTTGGCTTGGCGTTTTATCTGCGAGAAGAAGCTGATGCAGCAGCCATTCCCAGACCCTCTAGATTCGAACTAAAGCAGATGGCCGCAAGGGTTGGCAAAGAGGATGTGGAGTGGTGGGGCAATGCGACTGTTCTACTTTGTGCATGCGTCTTTCACGCAGGCAGTCAGGCATATCCAGTCTGTTGAAGAAGGTTCAATGCATCATTTTCACTGGCTTTAGGAGATTCGGCCATTCGAGGAAATGCCTCGGAGGGTTACCCCTCACATTGTATAGGTCATGGCTGGGCGGGAGGAAGCACCATCGCCTTCACAGACACGTCGGCATGCGCGCCGATTTCAACGCCAGCCCACAGCATGCTGTCAGGTTTCTGACGAAAAGATTCAGGAGTACGTGAAGTATTTGAGCAGGGAGCTACCCTCAGCCTGCATTTTGCAACTTTCTTTGGCTTCTCAAACCTGCTAGCATTTACTGGTCATTGGTCGCAGGTTGAAATTTTGAGCAGTTTGCTCGCTGCAGAGAAGCAGCAAGTGGTTGCAGACCTAGCTGCTGTGGATCCGCTTTTCCTGAACTTGAGCTGTATTGATGAGAGATGCCAGTCGGAATTTTAGGCCAAAGCGCTAATGGAAGTGCACTTTGCGAAGAACGAGGTTGGCATGGGCATTCAAAGTCCCGCTGCGTGCTGGATTTCTACACATTGCAGCTCTGAAAGGTGATCATTCAACAAGGTGATCCGGGTACAACTTTTTATATTCTCTTTGAAGGAGAGGCCGGAACCTAGGGTTTTGCAGCCATTCCGCTCAATTCTGCTCAGTGCTGCATTTGACAGAAGCACCCAGGTTGCGGTTTCCATAGATGGTGACGAGAAGGTTCGCCTCCAGGCCAATCAGCAAACACAGTTGCATGTGTGCTTTGTTGTGTGAGCTCGACGCTGTCTGTTGTTCTGTAGTCATGCCGTGTGCGCACGAAGTTTGAAATGCAGGCAAGCGAAGACAGGGGGACAGCTCAGTATTTTGGCCAAGTGCTCAGCATGTGAATATGTTTTATTGGCATGCTCGTGGCCAAAGAAAGTCAGGACGGTTACAGACAGCGTGCAGAGAGGGCTGCGCAACCATCCTGTGAGCATTCACGGGTGTCAACAGTCACAGAGATGGGGTAGGGGGGTCGCCATGGTCGTACATGTCGTCGTTTTTGGACCCTCGTTTCTGCGCCAGGTCTCACAAGTGTCAACAGTCCCCATCCTTGTGAGTGCTTCCAGTGGATCGGGAAGAGAGAAGGGAAGGAGAAGAAGAGAGGATGGGGGCGGCTTGAAAGACCTCTTTCTGTGTTCCCTTCTATAGCAGTTGGTGAGGTTCTTCCAGGCCCCAAAAACTAGGATTTAATCCAGAGTATACGGTCTCCCAAACAGGCCTTTCTAGAACAAAGATTTTGGGAGAGAGAAATTGCTGATATTCCGGCCCTCGCGGGGGTGACCCGAACAGACTGCTGCCTGCGGGACCCTGGAGTGTGACCGTGTAACCACGGCGAGCTCTTTCGAGGAGGACGTTGAGAATGCGGAGGAGCAGAGGGGAGGAGGGCATGGTGGGAGGGAGGTAGCAGAAGGGAGGAGGAACGAGGAGGACGAGGAGGATGAGGAGGGAGGAGGGAGGAGAGAGCAGGGAGGATGGAGGAGGGGGGAGGGGGGAGAATGGGGGGGAGGAGGAGGAGGCAGGAGGGAGGAAGACGACGAAACGAAAACGACCCTGTGTTCGTGCACACTTCGCGAATGCTTGCTGATCGGCCACACGCAGAAAGTGCCCCTGCATCCTTACAGAGAAATCCCAAGATCAAAGTGATCAAAGTAGTTCCAGTGCAGGCAACATAAGAATGCCAACGACAGGTGATTTGCTGGTCTGTCCTTCACATCTTCGCGAAGCTGTGTTTGCCTGCCGATGCTGAGGCGAGCGCGCCCTGTTGCACAACGAGCCGCGTGCGGCAACAGTCAGGGTAGTGTCCAAAGACGCCAAGGCAGCAACACGTGGTAAAATGGTGCAAGCTGATGTCACATGTGCGAAGGCTTCTTGAAGCTGGCGCGCAAAGATTGCCATGCACGCTTGTGCAGGCGCTGGCATTGGACAAGGAAGCCTTCGACTTGCTGCTAGGGCCGCTGGAGGCTTTCTGCTGCTGTTGCTGCTGTTGCTTGTCAAGAATTGCAACCCCTAACTTCTATCTGCTATTTATTTTCACATTCTGTCAGGAAATCCTCGCTCGGAAGGACCAAGGAAATCAACCATCGAAGGCGCAATACCACAATCCCGTCCAGCATGCATGACACGGCACATGTTTGAAGTTGTCCAGATGAATGGTTTTGGAGGCCGGCGCTGTGGCACCTCCCGCAGGAGGAGCGGGCGGTGGCCGAGATCCAAACAGGCAGAACCGGGAAGCATGGCGCACTTGAGAGAAATTTGTTCTGGACCTGAAGAGGCCAAAGATCCTGATGACCGATCTCCAGAAGGTTGGCCTCCTCGGAGCAGGCGGCTTCGGTGCCGTGCCTTGGCCGCATTGGCAGAGGGCAGCCTGGCATGGGTATCTGGCTTCAGCTGAGCTACATTGCATGTCGCCCAGGTAGAACTGTGGGAGCACAAGACCACCGGAGAGACTTATGCCATGAAATGTCAGTGCCCTATGGTGTTTGTGAAAAAGTTGAGAGTCCCGACAGATGGAGACTCAGGCATTAGCAAGGGATTCATCGTAAAGACGGGGATGCAGGACAATTCTTCCTGGCAGGGGCTTGCAGATGCAGCCATGACGCCTCACAGGACAGCGTGATCACTGAGAAAAACATCCTGTTCATGACGAACTCAGACTTCATCATCCGTCTCTATGAGACGCACGGCTCTCAGTTTTCCGGCTTTTCCGTCTGAGTCATCCGAACGTGGAGCGGCAGAACATGCACCGGCTACGAGGTACAACTCCAAGCAGTCGATCTATTTTTTGATGGAGCAAAGAGCTTGGAAGGTGTGTTTTCTGCACACGCTTAGTCTAGAAAAGCGTGTGCTCAGGCCTGCTCTGGGAGGAGAGTTGTATTCGATGTACCAGCGGAAGGCCGTTTCCCAGCATCGAGCAACAGAGGATGTGTAAAGTGCTCCGTGGAATTTGCATTGCTGTTTTGCCGGGCAGGGCTTCTATGGCAGTGAGAAGCATGCCAGATACTACTCAGCGGGGGTGGTCTCAGACTTAAGTTGATGGTACGCGGTGCGTACGGCGTGGATGCAGTTCGAGCATCCAAGGTGTGCGCTTTCGAGCATCTGCACGAAAGACACATCATCTACAGGCCTGCCATGGAAGAGTTAGTATACACATAAATATCTATCTGTTCTTTTGTTTATTGTATTTTTTGCTTTCCTGCTTGTTGGTTTCTCAGGCTTCCTGTCTTCTGCGGTTTTTTGGCTTCTCGGCTTTGCGAGCTTCTAGGCTTTTCGGCTTGCTGGTTTATCGGTTTCTTGGCTTCTCCTGCTTCTTAGCTTCTTGGCTTCTCCCCCCCAACCCCGCCGCTTTGTTAAAGCCATCCATGCTTCCTGTCAAAACTCATGTCACCACCATGTTTGCGGTAGGGGAATGCTGTGCTGATCATGTTGTTTGTAAAGCCCCCCCCCCACTTTTTTAAGGCCATCAATGTTTACCTCAAAAAAAATTGTCATCACCATGGGGCTACGACCCCCCCACTTTTCAAGGCAATCGTGCTGGCAAAATAGCAAGCATCATGTCATCATCATACTTGCAGCAAAGGAAGGTTTTGCAGATATTTTTTTGTTCTGCAAATGGGGGAGGGCTGCCCC